CTTCATATATTGATATATTTTGTCCATTTTCCTACTCCCCATGTTCCTTGAATGAAGTAGAGTATTTCTATTTTTTTTGTTTGAATGCTGTTTGAGGTGAGTGATGTCTTCAATGTTATGTCAAAGAGATTTCATTTGTCAAATTCCTAGTTTCATATGAAAAAAAAAAACTTCGGTTGACATTTCTGGGTTCAATGTGAGTCACTACTTCATTTTTGCTGGGAAAATTTCTGGAATATATGTCACTTTTGAAAGAAGTACGGTTTCAATATCATTCATCAATTGTTCATTTTGGAAGTTCATATTGAGATCGTAGGCTTTGATCCCTTTATTGAAATTTTTGGATCGTTATCCCTTGAAACATGATACTTTCAGGAAATCATTATCAAATTGAGCATAGACGAACTATCTACGTAGTTGTTTCTGTGTTTGATATCGTGTTTGGATTTTCAAAAGAGGTAAGTTTGGTTCTCATCGGACCAATTTGAAAATTCTGTGATTGGAACTGGTTTGGTGGTAATACGAAAAATTGGTGTATTGAAGGTCGAAAAAATGTAATTCATTGGAAGACTAACTGTATAGTCATCGTAATCGTAGAGGTATAAAAAATTCATCAAAATATTCCTGATGAATATCTATTCAATTATAGGAACCTTTGTGAAGAGAATATGCTCTATGTGTATTTTTGAGCGTTACTTCGGTTTGATCTAATCTCTGGGGTTAGTCGTTGATAAACAATAGAGAGATAGTTGAAGACAATATAGATTCCTGGGGAACACCAGCGTTGATGGTAACAGTATTCGAGAGATATAAGTCTATGGCCACTTGCAGTGAACATTTTTCCGGGAAGCTGAAGAGCCATACACGAAAATTATTCGATAAGCCATAGCTTCGAAGTTTGACCAGCAAACCCCCATTCCACACACGATCAAAGGCTTCAGAAATATCAAGCGCTACCGCTCTTGAATTTCTATGTTTCTCGATTGCGTTATTCCAAATATGAGTGACATACGATAGAAGGTCGCCTGTTTCAGAGAGCCATATTGATGATCGCTCAAGATGTTGAAGCCTTTCAAATATTCAAGGATATGGTGGTTTATGACTTCTCCTAAGATTTTTGATATCACTGATAGAAAAGCACTTTCACGGCTGTCGTCAATGTTTTGGTTATTTTCCGGATTTTGCCGTGGTCTTATTTTTTCCAATTGCCAATTGTTTCAAATGCAACTGCCTAAGTCATCTTCAGTGGCGTGGTCGACGTACTCTTCTTTTCTTGACGTATTAACTGATACGTCCATATTCATTTAATTTTGTAACGGGTGAGTTTCTAAGTCTCCCAGTCAAAATAAATATGGAGTTCTGGTCTATGCGAACGAATATTTAATCCAGATGGGGAATCTCTGAAACTCCGAGGTGATAATATATACCTGTCAGAGAAATTGAAATATACAGGCTGGAACTCTTTGATGTTATTTTTGGCATAACTTCCAAACCGCTCCTAGTATATCCATACAGCATTATGATTTTCTGGGGTAATCGGAATATGGAATACAAAATGTCAGTTCATTTAAAAAAAATTTTATAAACCATGTTCCCATTAGTTACTCTGTATATTGAAAATTATATCAAAACAGCCTAATATATTGATATCAAAATTTTTATATGAAACATTTTTTGAAAAATCAACATTTGCATTTTAAACATATGATGACAGGTTGCTGTGGCATACACTGTATATACCCGATATTGAATCTCCAGTCTTCAATATAATATCTGTTCAAATCAATCCGAACTGGGTTTGATATTTTGTACCTGAAATTTCTCTATGCATTTTCAAAATATCCGTTTGAGAATTGTAATTTCATACTCATTTTCAGACTTATGAATGGACTGACAAAAATGTTATCATTTCTGCCTTTTTCTGGGGATATGTTTTGCCGCAAGTTGGAGCCGGCTGGTTAGCTACTCACTATGGACCAAAATGGTTTTTAGTTGGATCAATGATGGCTTCTTCGATAGCTGGCTTTTTGATTCCCATGTCAGCAGCATACTTTGGATCGAAAGGAGTGATGATTTGCAGGGCTTTACAAGGAGTTTGCCAGGGATTTGTTATTCCTTCAGTACACATGTTACTTGCCCGGTGGGTTCCAAAAGACGAGAGGAGTATGGTATCATCTATAGTATATGCAGGTGATTTATACATTTCGCGATGAGGATATTGATATTTTTCACCACGTAGCTCATTTGTGGATTTCGTAAAAACTTGACTCAAATCGAAATATGGATTGTAACTATAATATTTAGGATAATTGAAATTTGGGTCTATTCATGGGTATCAANTATACCAACCTAAATTAATTTTACAATTTTGCCTTATCTATCATTTTACAATATATGTATATATAAAACAATTTTCAGCTATATAAAAATTAATTTCACAATATTGCCTATCCAATTTATTTTTGCAACGTGTCCTTTGGATAGACAATTTGATAGACGATTTGTTGTTGGAAAAAAACTCCAGTAATATTCAGAAAAAATCATTTTATTCTTCAGAAGAATTCGAACTATATCAATAAAATGCTTGCTTGCTCATTTGATCATTGTTCTGTTTTCTCAAGAAGTTCGCCAGTCTTCACTTTCTGTGTCATTCAGGATGTCTCCTTAATTTATTTTTTCAATGTGTCCTTTCGATAGGCAATATTGTGAAATTAATTTTTATATAGCTGGACATTTTTTTGTATAAACATATATTATAAAATAATAGATAAGGCAAAATTGTAAAATTCATTTAGGTTGGTATACCTGTATGGGTGGTACACCTGGATGGTTTACCTGTATGGGAAATGCTTGCTTGCCTATTTGATTATTGTTCTGCTTTCTCGAGCAGTTCGCCAGTCTTCAGTAATCCGATCACTTTCTGTGTCATTAAGGATGTCTCACTCGTGTAATAATACTTCAGATGGCTCAGACTGTTACGATGTACTCATATAATATCAATCATATCAAGGCGACAACAATGCATATATGGGATGCGATGCAAGTACTTCTTACAACAGATATTCACCCAATACAGTAACGAGATAACGTGTACAAAATAGACTCCCCGCTTTCCCGTCGATGAAGAAGGCCACGAAACTCTCATATGAATGAGATAAAATCGCATTTTTATTTTCCATTATGTTGGTACCGATATTATTTCTGAATAATCACTTATATTTGCCCATTGATATAATGGTATCGGCAGTAAAGTTCAATCATTTGCATATGACACAATTATCACATATTTCCTTTGTAGGTACGCCTTGTGGAACAGTATTTGCATTGGTAGTAACTGGATATATATCAGCAAGTTCCTACGGATGGCCGATGTCATTTTATTTTTTCAATGGTCTCAGTTTAATTTGGGTCGTTTGGTTTTCTCTCTGTGGTTATAGCTCCCCTGGAGATCATCCAACAATAAGTCAAGAGGAAAAATATTATATTGAGACTTCATTAGGATTCGTTGAAAATAAAAAAGTAAGTACTCAAATGAATCAATTTGATTTGAAACCAAATTATAGATATTCGTAGGTTTTCGAAAATGCTATATTTCCAAACTGATCATTTTCACCGTTTTATAAGTTTCCAAACCTCCATTAAGCTGTAATTTGAAGTGTATGTTGCACGGAATATTATGTCATAATTACTGAATAGAAAACGATATCAACTCTATACCTCAACCAACATCAAGTCTCGCAAGAATTTATCACTTCAAATATTGCGGTTCAAACAAACTGTTAACAGCAAAATGAGTAGTTTTTCTAAACGATTATTCAATAACAACATTCAATTAGTCATAAGAACATAGGTTTTTACAATTGGAGTCATAATTGAAGGTTAAATGAAATCAGGAGTACCAAACGTTTCAGCTGCTACTGCGGCAGATATCATCAGTAGTGTGAGCATCGACTACGTTTATATAGAATTAGACAGAAGAAGGTTATAGACGATTATTTACTGAACGGTAAAGATAATACGATGGATGAAAGACTACCTTATTTCGACTGTTACAATGATATCAACATAAGTATATCGCAACATGTCTACGTTGATGTACTCACTCCTTAGCATCACTTATATTTGTTCTACAGTTATTCACAGCAGAGTGAATACTAGCACTCACCCCTATCTAAGACATCACTTCCATGTCAAAATAAAGAACTCACATCAGATTTTTTGGACCCAAACTCATCAGTTTGGATATCATCCAAAGGATTTCAGAAACTATAAAACTATATAAAAAGTGTTCATTGAGAACGACACCAAAAACTGATTTGAACAGTTCTCCTGAGCTTTCATCAAGACTTCCAACATGCATTGTGTGCATTCTGTAACTCAAGTTGATGCGCAAATAATTGCTACATTCCTTATTTCTAGTGATAGAAAGTTGTTTGAATGGAAAATGTTTTCAACTATTTTGTTTCTTAATAATATGTTTTCGCAGGACCGCCTGAAGCAAGTACCAAAAGTGTATTGCAAATAAGGGAATCTTTCCAAAACAAGCACTTTTCCGAAACAGCAGAACAACACTATTCTCGATGCGCGTTCGTACTTTTTATTTTCACAATCGTTACCAGTTAAGGCTAATGTAACATGAATTTTGTAGAAAAACATTATTGAAATGCTATGTATTGAATCGAACGATATTTCAAACAGTGCTTATTTGAGTATAAATACATCAATACAAAGAAAAAGTATATTGGCTAGGTGATCGTGCCTTCAAAATTAATCATTTGGAAAACTTGTATTATCATACAGGAACAATTTCACAAAAAGACAATACCAGTGTTGATAAAACCACAAAAAATCAAATCTGATTTATATATTTTTTATATTATTCCAGTATCTCATGCGGAAAATATTCCGTGTTTTATTCAAACATTCTAACATCTTACAACTAATGCAGAAATAGTTTTCTTATGATGATGAAGATAACAACAATGATAATAATAATAATGATAAAAACGAACGAGAAGTGACAAACTTATTAGAACCCTGGCTCATACAAGCTAATGAGCTTGGTGTAGTCCTTCTTGATCATCAGAGCAGGACAATATTTGTCATGGAGTTTTCAGTCCCTGATGAGATGAAAATCTTTCGAAAAGAGTAGTAAAAACGGATGAAATAACGAGGTTTCCTCTTTGAATTTGGCAGACTCTATCCAGACCACTCACTCTGTCAAGATGCTTCTGATTTATTGGGATGCTTGATGGAATGGTGCGCTCCTTACTCTAGAATAACAATATCATACCGTTCTGCCGCACTAAGGCAGATATCTTGGCCGGACAGATGCAGAAGGCTGTCACTCTTGGCACATCGTCTCTGTTCAGGGCAAATGATTTTCTGACCCAATAATCATTTACCACACGGTAGTCAATGATTGATGATGCTGGCGCGTCCCGAATATATCGTTGTTTCGTGTACAGGTCCCGATCAGCGCAACCTCAGGAAAAATTATGATTAATAAGAGATTCTACTGCATGAAAAATATAAACGTATGTTTCACCATCAGACATAATCATCTTATCAGGTAAATTTCGCACCTTCCCGATGAAGAATCAAAGAGCAGCGCTTTTCCACTCAACCTAAAAAGAACAAACAAATTCGAGAAAACATTTTCCAAATGAACTTTCATTCACACGAACTATCTTCGGGAGTCCATCATATTTTATTTACAGTGAGTATTTTTTTTTGGTAATTATATTGCGAAATTCATAAGAAATAACTGGTCCGTCATTTTGAGCATTTTGCCAAATTGAATGTTGAATATCTTTTCTTGATATTACCATTGAAGTGACTGGTGGATTGGGCAGGGGGTCCTATCCGGGAAGCCAAGGTGGCCTTACGGACGGGGACTTCTTGTCAGTGGCAGAAATGAGTAGGGTGAGGGGAACAGAAACTCCCCAAAATCCTTTGCAAAACATGCCAACGTATACCAGCCTTCCCAAGTTGAGGTGTGAGAAATCATGCCAACAGCTGAATAGCCGCAGGGTGATATGCAGTACGAACGATCCCCTTGGAGAACTGGGCTAAACCTCATTGTAATCAGCCTACCTCTGGTAATGCGGGCTCTGCCAGAAATGACCAACTCATCCCTTGCTACTCGTGGGAACACACATGAAGGAGACGATACAAAAACAGAAACAACCAAAACAAAAACCAATTCCGAGGCTGGACAGAAGTGCTCATCTCAATCTGAGGCGGTGGCTGGGGATGAACAGAAATGTCCACCCCAATCTACCGCTTGGAATGAGGCTGGACAGATCACCTCCGACAGCAAAGGCACTTCCTGCGGCGAGTGTCAAGAGCTCCGCCTTGAATAAAGGCAAGGAACCGGCTGCCCCTGCAAGAAAGCTCCCTCACTTGTGCACCTATACGGTTGAAGAAGCCGCGCAACGACATTAATATTGCTGCACCTTATAAAACCTTTGCGGAGGCCACCGTGAGGCACCTCAAGGTTGCCAAAGAGAGTGTGTGTTTGGCGAGTCCTCGCCTACACCAGCCAATATCAAGGAGATGTCTCCTATTGACCTGTTCACCTTCCTGGAAAGGACAGGACGGACGATGACCTACGAGGACAACTCCTTCATGTTCAATGGATGTACAATGGGCCACATGTGGCCTAAGGGCCGTGAGTCTACACTCACCCTCCCTGCTCTACAGATACCAGATCAGATACCATTCAAATAAAACGTGATTCGAAATCAGTTGCAAGATTTATCTCGAACTGACAAACACTGCATGTTATGCAAATCCTTCAGAATAGTAATAAACGATGATGATGGGAAGAACATCAAAAGATATTACATATAAGCCGATAGGACTAAGTTGAGTGATTATGAGCTGATCGGTGTTGGAATAATCGGAACAAAGAAAGTAAATGGAATACCCATGGTTATTTTTCCTAAAATTTCACCCCTTTCAATTCAAACAAGATTCATAATAGTTTATTCATATATTCTAATTATAATTTCAAATTTTATTAGGGAATCACTCAAGAGTCGAATGCCTAGCTTTTTTGAGTAAACAAAAGAACATTTCAAGAAAGATTAATTTTTGGAGAAGGGGCTTCATTGCAATAATTCCCATATGGAGATGGCTGAGTATTCAAAAATGTGAAAACATACTTAGTGTTACATTTGAATTGCTAGAGTTGGCACCAACTTCCGGTGAATCCGGAAATATTGAGGAAAGCGCCATTATTTTCAAGCATATTGAAAAACCTCTACTTACCAAGTTTCAGAAACACCCTGTATTTCGTTACACTTTTGAATAGGTCAGGAAAAATAATATGATTTCATATGGTTCTATATACCTAAGTATAACCGTTCTCGAGTTACTCATTATTTTATGAAAATGATAAGTATAATTGAAAACTAAGTAACATGTATAGAAATCATCCTCTAGAATTCTGACCAAGCATATAAATTGTTCCTCAATATCACACAGAATGTTCAAAAATCATTGTCACTCTCTGTATTTTTTGGTTTCGCTATACCTAACCTAGATAGGTTTTTCAGATACTGGCTCTTTTAAATAGTAGTTCAATGTATTCTTTGAATAAGGATAGCTTTGAAATGACATTTATTTGATTTGCTCATTGAATTCTCATTGACTGTTATTCTGTTTTACGTTATTTGGGACATTCACCAAATCAATACCGTTGAAAATTAAAATGTATCCCATTCAAGATCGGATAGCGATTGTTGACTGTTTAGGGAATTACATTTTGTCTTCGAGGGTGTATGCCCAAAAATATCCAGACCAATATCATACAAACAAGTTAGTTTCCAAACGATTGCTACATAAATTTCGTAGGAATATAAATATTATAACTTATGAAAAGGGCAAATAGACCAAAATATTTCATTGGACATGGGGAAAATAAATTTCGTATTATGGGATCAATCACAGAAAACCCTGATGAGAGCCAACGTAAAATCGAAAAACATACTAGGATGAGCCGACGTAGCATTCCTAGGGTAATAAAGAATACAAATTTCACCCGTATTATATTCAGATGAACTAGGAATTATATGAAATAGACTTCCATCGACGAATCGAGTTTTGTCTATGAGTTCTAAATACGTTTAGTGGGGATAAACATTTTTTTAGATTCCATTTTATTTTCTGATGATTCTACTTTTCATAACAATGGCTCAGACAAAACTTTCACAACTGTGGTAATAAAGAATACAAATTTCACCCGTATTATATTCAGATGAACTAGGAATTATATGAAATAGACTTCCATCGACGAATCGAGTTTTGTCTATGAGTTCTAAATACGTTTAGTGGGAATGAACATTTTTTTAGATTCCATTTTATTTTCTGATGATTCTACTTTTCATAACAATGGCTCAGACAAAACTTTCACAACTGTGATTCTCACGAAGCGGCAATTTCTGTATTCAATTTATTGAAAGAGGTCATCCTATATGGAATGATCTGTCGAATGATAGTCAGAAGCAAGTGCCTCTCTGTCTACTATCATGACGGAAATTGAATCATATTCGGTAGACATTTATTCCACGTTCATGACAGAGACCATCCTCAGAGGATCAGATGAATTTGGTCTATTGCTGAAGAATAAGAAGTACCTTGAACATGGTTTCTGTGAAAAACTCTAGGCAAACATCTGATTGATGCAGTTTATTCCCTTTGTAGTTTTGGACAGAAACATAACTGTTTTCAGAGGGGCGTCTGTCAAACCTTATGGTATCAACTGGGTGGAAGTAGTTAACATATCGCTTTTCATTTGAAATATCCATACAGGTTTCAAAGGTCTAACCCATCATTTCTTCAACCATCTACATATTTGAATCATCATCACATTATATATCTGATTTTCATACTTTTTCAATAATTTGTTTTTCCAAATATCATTTATCAATTTTAACTCCCGACTTTCAGGTTTCATCAACACCGTGGAAGCGAATTTTAACGTCAACTCCATTTTGGGCCCTTGTATTGACACAGAGTGGATTCACGTGGGGATTTTGGACATTGCTCTCTGAAATACCATTATATATGGACAAAGTTATGAGGTTCAATTTGAAATCAGTACGTAAACCATACAAAATAATTAACGTCAAGAAGCAAAATATCAAAAATAATATGTGTCTATATATTTGATAATTTTTTTAATTTTTTTGCAGAATAGTTTACTGTCATCCCTTCCATATTTATCTCACTGGTTATTTATGATACTTTCTGGCTATATTGCTGATCAGTTAATGAGTAGGAAAATATTTAAAGTCAGAACTGTCAGAAGGCTTATGAATTCTGTTGGTGAGTATGGTTGTTAGTCTCGGAAACCTACAAGTGAAATTGAATATGTTTTTGTTTCCTACCTACACGAGTCAGAAAGAAAGTGAACCCCATTGTATCCACACAGAAAATGTAATATATGAGTTATGCGTATAAGTGAGCTGTATAAATCCAAAGAAATAGGATTATACATAGATTATAAATGATGCGAAAAGAATAATTTACGAAATTCAGATGTAGATCTAATGAAGAATAAGACCAGCTGTAGAAGTGGCTGCCAAAATGCATAGCCACTTTTTGAATGTCGTTTTATTTTGTATATTCTGAAATATAGAAATATTTGGACCAGACAGAAGAAGTGAAACTTTGATATTCAGGAATACCACAACTAGAAACGAATACATAATATCAGATCTTCATCTAAAGATATTGACAAATCTCTGAACTTGTATTAAATTTTTTGTCTCTGATTTTATTATTTCTAGAATTATAAAATTTTGTGGAGTTTTTACCATTTACCATTTACATTTTACCAGTTTTTGAACATTCTCTCTAATACAGTTCTATTAGGTCAGACGTTTTTGTAAGTCTACTTATAACAAAAGTTTTTGGATGAGATAAGAATAACAATTCATCAAATGAGGAATCTGAATGAAATGTTAAACAGATGGACAACAATTTTTTTTTTCTGTGTACAAAAAAGTACATATGCGAAACTGAAATAATATCCGTTAGACGAAACGTTCAAACATACATTATTATAACACTAGGAATGCGATTTTTTTGTCAGTAACATCTAGGAATTACAAGTTGAAAGGTAAGACCTCATTAATCTTTAGCTCGCACAAGTTTCCACTTCTGAGGGTTTTCGTCCGTAGGAGTGCGACAGCTGGTTAACGGAAAAACAGAACAGATTTTAAAAACAGATCTATACTCATCAACTGACTATGGTAGATCAAGATGCTAAAAAACACAATTTTGGCAGGCCTTGATAAATCCCCCAGTTTTCGACAGTCCCACGCGACCAGAAGAACTCGGTAATCAGGTGCTTTGATGAGTCGAGGTCTTCAACGCTATTGGAGAAGATTTCATGAATTGGTTTATCTTCATGTTGCTGCAGGAGTGAAATGATATCTGCATCTTCAATGTGAGCCTTTTACAAAAATTGTGATCACATCGTTCAGTATCGAAAATTGAACAAAGTTCGTCAACCACTCGGACAGCTGTCTTGAACAGAAATGCTTTATTTGTCTCTCTGCAAATGCAACATCCAGTATCATTCTGTCAAGTAGACACTTCTAAATCGAAAGTTTACGAATTTTCGACGAAAATACAACCGTGGAACGGATTATTTGGAATGTAATCATTATTATTATCACCATTTTTTCCATCGTGGGGTAAGCTGGACGTGCCCTGTCTCCGACACTTTCAGGAAGGCGTCCCAGATTCAATAACCAATGACCGCTAGGTAGAGATCATAGTGTCCAAAAATCATGTTCTCTAGGCAGACATAATGACATTTCTCCGGTCGAGATTTCTGCCATCGTGAGGCAAGCTGACATGTTCTTGAAACTAAAAAGTGGAGAGGACATCATTCTACTTCAATAATCAGACTCCAAAATTCATCTCCCAGTTGTCGGGGAAAGTACAAAAGTGGAATGAATGATTTGAAATGCAAACTCTTATGGAGATGCATTATTTTTCGAGTCGCGTTCAAGTTGATACAGCTCCTCCCGAGTCTACTTCACTACTTCAAATGAGTAGAGTTGTATTGGAAAGGCAATCATAATCATAGCAGCAACTTCCCTGACAGTTCTGATGAGCAGATTTGGCAGAGTTCGTGCTATTACTTGCTGCTGATAGAGTTCTTCTCTACTGTTACCTCTTGTGGTTGGTACTGTTCTACCCCGAAGTGAGTATGCGTCTCTTCGACATCCAGATATTAGGTTAGGTTAGGTCCAAGGTGAGTAGGTCTATTTGACTCTTCACCGCAACCCGCAAGGGTTTATTGTGGGTCACACCTATTCACACTCGACCAAATAAACCCAGATTCTCAACGTTAGTGGTTAGTGGTCTTTCTGATCAGATGGTGAGAGTACGGCTCTGCCGAACTCTAAAAACCTGATTCAGCGGGTTAGGCACAATCTATACGCTCTGTTGTTTCCTCGTTAATGAGGTAGTCGGATAGCCAAGGTGCAAGATTCTCACCTCGATACCCGCGACAACCTTCCTATATGAGGGTTTTTGCACGTCAGCTACATCTGACGATGCCTTAGATTCAATCGTGCAGGGTTTTTTTGCTTCTGGTATTGATGAATCATCACTTGAGCGTAAACGTTTGCTAAACTGCTCATGGGGGGTTGTTTGTTTTTCCACCTGAGACAGATTCTGCGTACGCCGCTCAAGAATTTGGTGCAAGGCGGTTTCATAAGGTACCCCACTCTAGAGGAGATGATTCAGGCGTTTCCTGGCTGCACCACCAAACCTTTTTTTTAGGTTCGGTTTCCAGATCAGGAGTTGGAGAGTTGATAAATTCTCGCTCCTGATCTAAATTTATAGGAAGGTCAATTGGATTCATAAACTCGATATCCATCTCCTCTGTAGACTCAGCTTCAGAAATAATTTTCGGGTTTTCTCTGTCCATAAAAATATAACGAGTAGCTAGGGAAAGAAAGTCAGTCACGGCATTACTGTAACAAGGCAATGCTACGACAAAAGGGCGCCCGGCATCACGAAGTTACCGGCATCTCGAAGACAGCTGATAGGCTCAGTGTCATTCATCCTATCGGCGCACGGATACACACACCTTAGGATTGAGCCATCGCTGGGATGCCATTCAGTTAGGGAATAACAGAACCACAAGTGATTTTGTCATTCCCGTATCCAACGGGGCTGGAATCAGGCATCCGATGGCCGGTTTGCTCAGCCCACACATCCCAAGCCAATGCACTCGTCAAAAACAGCATGTACAGTGGTTCAGGCAGTGAAAAATTAACGAGGACAGCCAACCCGCCATCCAGATGTTATAGGTTACTTCAATCTACAAGCTGCACAACCTCTTCGTGGCACGTGTGGCACTCACGTGGCACGTGAGTGCCACAGTTATACCCTCGCGTATTTTTGAACGCAGTGGATAATGGCAATAATGAGATGCGGGAAAGAAAGGGACTGAGGAGATCGATCTTCCTTGGAACACACAAGGGCCCTTCCAAATCCATCCGAAGTAAGAGTTTCGTAGAAATCATTGAATTCAGAGTGTCAAAGTTTTCTACTGGAAAATTCAAACTGCACCAGGGCTGGGGTGTTTGAATTGAGTCACAAATCTCCGCCTCCAAACAAGCCAGATTTTGTGGCTTCAATAGCATCATTCGATGAAGTGCCCTGCATGGTCTGATACTATCCACTGGTGGTGCAAGTTTTCTCTGCAGGGGTGAAATAGCTTTGTTCCCACACGCAGACGCCAAACTGCCTCTGTTTTTTTTTTTGAGATAGTGTGCATGAATTCTGTTAGGATTTTGGCATCGTCCGAATATTCCTGCAGATCGAAATTGTTTATTTTGCAGTAAATGGAAAAGTGAAATCGCTTTCACAAACAGTTCATTAATTTCATCTTGATTTGTTTCCATGATAGTTCCCGAATTGGTACACTATGATTGAATATTCAGATCACTTAAATCTTTTGTTTAATCACCAATTAGTGGAATTATTTTCACTTGCATCATGTTATTTATTTACCAGTTTCACTTCTGAAGACGAGTAATTTTCAACCAGTGATTTGTACTGCGCATTCAACTGTGGATTCACATATTGTTTCATTTGTAACATATTTGATCATCATTGGTTGGCTATGAATGCACATCAAGTAAAGTTGAATATACTCAATTGGCTCATCTAAATAATATATATCATATATCATTTAGATGATATATCAAAGTTTTCAATTCAACTGAATCACAGGTATTTCACCAAACTGCATTGATTAACATGCAATTTATTCAATTCAAACAAAGATAACCGACAATGATTGAAAAAACTGGCACATTCTTTCTTGCAATTTCTCTGCGTGAGAATTGACACATGATTTTTTGTGTAAATTTGACACACCCGAATGAATATTGGAAAAAATTTTTGTCAAAGAATTGCTCGTCAAAGGATTATTTTTGAAATTTCACAAACTGTTCAGTCACCTTCCTGACATACGACTAAAAGGAGAATACGTAGAAAAACTGGAAATCAGGATAGTGAACTTTCATAATTTTGTGTGAAAATCACTTGTATTGTCAATTAAATATGTCAGGAGTCAATACTTGTGCGAGCTAAGGAATAACGAGTTCTTATCTTCTAACGTGTGATTCCTAACACAGGTTGGACGATAGCAATTAAAAATCGAGCATCCATGCAATATGAAAATCATTCATTTATTTTGATTTCATCTTTGGTATTCGACATCAGAGGTTTTTTCAGAATTATGATTTTTTTTTATATTTTCGATTTTCCTTTCTTAATTAATTCTGAAATATTTTAAATTACTTCGTTTTGAGGATGTTGAATTTGGAAACAATTTTTATTCATATTGATGTTTGAAATACATTTCCCAAAAACGTTACGTCAATGATAAAAAAGTATATGTTATTATTTGTTTTAATGAAGTTACATTCGGAGTTTATTCAAATTTTTTTATTCCACCTAAATCACAGATTTAGTTGAAATATGATGTTAAATTCATAAAATGCAGAACACTGCATATCAATGATTGTTGAAGATCTATTGAAAACACTTTTTCCACACCTGAGCAAAAGTACTGACTAACGACGAGCAATTCGCTAACTTATTGACTCATTAGGAAATTATTTAAAATAATCAGTTTTGGCTCTTGATGATCCTGATTATGTTAAACTTTGTTTGCGAAACGCGCTTCGAGAGTAACTTAATTAATTCTACTATGGAAAAAGTGTTTTCATGAAGTTAATTTTATACCAGTTACTGGAAATGGAATGGATTTCGAAATGGAAAGTTGAGAAAACTATACGAAATGCCGTAGGATCTGTATCTTCATGATGAAATTTTTTTTGTGATTTCTGACTGCGAATATTTTTTTCATTATAAAAATGAGTCCTTGTTTTTGCTTTGCTCCTTAAACTTTTTGATGCTACAGTGCCTAAAGGTTAATTTTACGCTCTCTTGTCTAAAATCCTTTCATTATGAAACTTCAATGACAATCAAAAAGTCACTGTTTATTTAGTGAGTTTTCATCAGTTTTTCATTTATAGGATTCACTGCACCAGCTATTGCACTTTTTATTCTTGGAGATAGTGGACCAGAAAGTGCTATCAAGGCACTAGTTTTACTGGTAATTGCTGTTGGTGTCAGTGCAATAGCCTCAAATGGATTTTTCATCAACCATATGGATCTTTCACCTAATCATGCTGGCGTAATTATGGGTATTAGCAATTTTCTTGCAAGTTTATGTGCGATAGCTGCCCCACTGTTCGTACAAGTGTTCGTTACAGATGAGGTGAGATATAAAATTACTTCTATTATTTTTGTGTTCATACTTTCATATGAGTTATAGTTCTTATGGAATGCCGGTATAACACCAACCTTGCGCAAAAAATCAAAGCTGTGCAGTGTAGCAGTATAATATTTGTGATTTTGTCCAAATATTTCAATTTTGATGTGGAAAAATCAATTTTCTCAATCATTTTTGAGAAACTCTCATGCAACAAAATAAAAATATAAAAATGATATAGTCTTACTGTTGAATAATCATCCCAGTTATTGTGGGGTTGAGATTTTCACGGCTGGAGTCTATCAAATCATTTGATTTGACGGGATTCACTGAAAGTGGTCTGCAGGTGATTCAACATGATTTTTCGACTGCAATTGACGCATCAAATGTAATGCGGTAATGATTGAAGTGATCTACGTCGCTATGATACGCACCCAATACCGTAATTTCCATATTTGGTTATTCTCGTGTCAATTAAAATCATGGGATTTCAGCTCACAGAAGAGAATGGAGCATGTGGGAGATGGAGAAAGTGTTGCTTCAAATAATGACATGGTGAACAATCGAAATATATTGTATATATCTGTATTATTAATTAAACCAAGCTCAAACCATATTTGCTCTCATTTATTTTGATAATGAATTGAAGGCAAAAAAATTATTGATTTTTATATTATCAACATCAATCATTAATATTTAGATTTCATCATAATTCAATTCGAACAGGAATATTGAGTGGTTTATTCATCAATATCAAACATTAACATATCTATTTCACCATATCCTAGTGTAAACAGAGTCAATAGGGCAAAACAATATCGTGAACGATTAGTGCAAATACTTTGGTGTGTGATAAAAACTTGAATTCACATGTTTCAAACTCTATTTTGATGTCGACAGTGCATGCCTTCGTAGAATAGAATTGGTGGGAGCAGACAATAATAAATGATGGTGGGAGCAGACAATAATAAATAATGGTTATTGCGAAAGCTGCCGGTATTCATCATGAGTTCACTCATAGCTTTATCATAAAAGCGGCGTTGAAAGTTTATATATGCATTATAGGTCTAACTCATATAGTCTACTCCTATATGGGTGTACTTCATATGGGTATACTTCAGAGGTCAAATATAGTCGAATATTACTAATACTCGTTTGATCTTCCTCTTGAAGATGATCACTTGGTGATCAAAATACGTGTCAATGTGAATGTACTATTTCTAATAAGATTCATTATGGATCTAATTTCATTGGACTTCTTGTAATATGATGAACTATATCGCTTATATGTCTTCTCATGAAATGGTCGAACAGGGAACATCAAATACCTCCAGTTCATCACTTGCTATAATGAACGAGTTTAGCAATTACAAAGACACCCAACTTAACATTTCGTATGCTTGAATTTACTGCCTTCCCCACCCTCAGAATTGAAGCAGTTTTTTTCTTTGCTGTTTCGGTTCATTTTAAAACTTCCTCGATAGAGAAAATGTGATTATTACATTTCAACCGTCAAGAAATGATAACTACTGAGTTATGATTCCAACAGCTTCCGCTGTTTATATTACTTTTTTTTCACTGTTGAAAATTGATCAGATGACCATCATCATCAAATATGTGTGTAGTCATTGACAGACATGCTCTATCTCCTCAGCAATCTGACTTGTCACTCACCAGTATTGTATTCAACAACTGTGTTGCGTATTCCAAATTAGATTGAATCGATTTCATATCCTCTTCTATATGCTCACATTTTTTCACAAAATCCACTGATTTCAGTTTGAGCACAAAGAGGTCTCCTTTGATCGATGCGGAATATTTTTGTATCTCATCTGATTTCGAATCAATTTCATCAATAATAGAATCTTCTTTCTTTTTCATCTTTGAAATGAGAAAATCAACATATACACGAGGGGCACAATCCGTATTCCCTCAAGGCTCTTCAAGATTTTTCTTACGTTTGTTTTCGATATCAAAGTTTCCATCGAGAGTTAATTTGAAACCAATTCATGGTTGTTCTCGCAGAACAGTGTTTTGAGCTGTTCACTTTTGCGGCCAAACTTCTTCTTTCTTCATTCATTTTTATGATGTACTCAAGGTTGTCGTCGATGTGTTGAATCAATATATGAGATTCAGTAACGATGATTTTATAACTTTATCAACTCCAATTTGACTATTATCTTCTCAGTATTGAAATTGATCTGATGATACTAACGACCGTTAGGCTGGATTGGCATATAGACAATATCCAGCGGTTCCTTAGTGAGTTTATATACGGTCCCCACATCGATGTCGAATTCAAAGATTCTGTGAATTTCATCACCATTTGTATATGATCCAGCGGTGGCATCACAATCAACACGAATAATTCTTACCTTGTTGATATTCACGGCTGATGTCGATTCGTGTATTTCACCAAAGCTGAAAATATTGTCATCATATTTGAGAGCGATGTGATATTTTGCCAGCATTTTGCATTTCAGGGTATTCTTATTTGCATATAAGAGAAATACTCTATCTATATTCTTGTCGTACCCATTTTTTGTTGAAGTTCTTCTAGTATCCTCATTGATTTTGTCAATATAGTATGCTCCAGATGAAGGGAGGCGAGTTAACTGTTTGCGAACAAATAGCCAAAAACTCTACTCTTTGTACCCACATTGAATATGGAGTTATAGAAGCATGAACTCTGTAATCCTAGTATATAATTACTACCTACGAGTATATCCAACTCATTTCATTAGGTGTGACAACATTCACATCATTCACCCTGCAATGAGAACAGACTATTTTTTCATAGGAATTACTGTTTTCTACATTACTGTAATCATTCTAGCATTCTAGTACCGCACCACATCAAAATCATTTTGAAAGCTCTGTGATAGCCTATCCCATAAAGATGCAATTCCATGTGATACGTACCCGATTAACACTCCATTTAGCATATGGCGAATTGTCTCTCACTTATTTTTCGTGAAATGCGTGATCTGGAATGAGTGATCATTGAATGACCATCCTCTTGATGCTCTTCCGGTCTCGCATTGGAGTTATTCTCATATCTTATTCTGGAAAAACTCCAGACACAAACACAATAAACTGTATTGAATCATTGTTGATGCTCATGATTATGTATGTATCATTGATACATTTCAAATGGAAAATAGCGAATAATTTCCTTTGGAGGGAAAAAACTCACCAAAGCTATCAAAATATTTCACAGTGGTATCCCACTTTTCCTCTATGCTATCCAATGTGTCTTTGATTCACTATGGCGGTGTGGTCCTGATTTTGGTAGACAATCCATCGGAAATAAGCGATCATCATTTTCTCAGCGTAATAGTTGAGATCAACGTTGGAGAGATCACTTTGAGGTGATACTGCTAGTATATCTTCAGATATACTAGGAGTATATCTGAAGACTCACAAAGTGAGTTCCTTACTAAGTATATCTGGAGGAGGGCTTTGATTAGATCCCACTTTCTTTTTAATCAAGAACCATCGTCTCCATGTGTCTATTATGCTTGCTTGCTATTGCTGCGTGAACTGCTTTCTTGTGTAGCACCATCTAAACTACACACTAACTCTTTTATGAACTGGTGTCAGTCATACCCACCGATATTATGAGAATTTATAGAAACGAAATTGAACTATTTTAAACTGTGGTTGTGAACCGATTTTTTTTTAATCATCCGCATCAACCTGATGGTTATTAGCGGTGTATTTATCATCAGCTAGTATTTACAATTTTATAATAAGGTTGAGAGCAGTTAAAAAGCAAATAATATTTTTCGCTCGATGTCGTCCTAGAGCTTCTTTCAAATTTTGAGGTATATTGTAATTGTCTCTTTCTGTTTGGAACAGCGGACATTCCTCCATGATGTGTTTTACTGTGAGTGGCATTTCACAAATTCGACACTGTGGTTCCTCTCCTCGAGATATCAGGTATTCATGGGTAAGCCTTGTATGTCCTATTCTGAGTCGAGTCATAATCACTTGTTCTCTTCTCATCAGATTTCCATGATCCCACGGTCTTACCGCTGTTTTGATTTCTTCAGCTCATTACCAAATGATGTCGTTGAGCGATGTTGGCCAATTTTTCTCTACGAAATCGAATCGAACCAGAGCTCTGCCGAATTGGCACTGTGATAACTATATGGTGATCAGCAACTGGTGTGATTCACTATAACTTTCTGCATCCTGGTCGAACAATCGCAGCAGAGTTCTATTGAGAGGATCCTTCTTCATGACAACCCACATTTCACGTCGTAGTTCTGCCTCACCCACCATACTCTTCAGACGTCTCGACAACTGACTATCATCTTTTCAAGCACTTCGATAATTTTCTAGCCGGTAGGACCTTCGCCAAGGTTGCCAGGACCAGACAAAAACGGCCTTCGTTGACTACATCGAACTGCAACCAATTTTAATCCTGACGGAAGTGATAGACTTGAGTGCAAAAGTGCACCTATTTCAATGGCACTTATTTCTATCGAATTGAATAAGTATATACTGAGATATTGCAGTTGAAAAAAGACTCATCAAGAAGAAAAAAACTTTTTAAACAACCTGATAAAACGGTATAAAAATGAAATCATCCAATAGAGCACTTCATGAGTTATGAAAAAGCATATGGCTCTAACTATTCACTATTTCACTTTCTTTAGGTACAAATTCACCAAATTTATCAATTCTGATGTGCAAAAATGCCTTTTATCAAAATCATCCGTTATATTCAGCAAATTCACGTGACTGTTGAGCCTACGTTTTGAATAGTGTGGTGGACCTACAACTTCATATTCAATTGTATCATTTTTGAAACTGAAACTATTTTCCAACCCATGGATATTGATAGAGCATGATTCATTCATAATTCACAAATATTTTTTATTTCAATTGAAAAATCCCAAGGACCGTTATATAACATAGGATAGCTGGATGACTACAGATTTTCGCCAGTCGCCAATTGAGAAATTGATGTAGTAAAGTTTTTAAAAGAAAGTACAAACTTTATTCACGAAAATAGAACAAAAACTACATTAGGAAAGAACAATTAAATAAAATTCTCAATCGGTGCTTACTTTAACATACGTTCTTTGTTATTGAAAAATAAATTGTAATAAAGAAGTTAACTACATTTACATACCTATTACTATGTAATGATTATTTTTAAACATTAAAAATATAAATAATAATTTTAAGAATTATTACATAATAGTTTTTTTCATTTTTNACTTTCAAAAAAGTTAGCACATCTTTCAATAAGCCTGGCTTTATAGTAATTTTTGATGCCCAACTCCTTAAAGTGGACAATGCTGGTAAAGGAAAATTTAGTTTAGTTCGCAAAAATACATAACATTTTCTGCTAAGATAACGAAGAGTAAAAGCAACAGCAATCTCTTCTGTAGTCCAATTCACGCGTTTATTTTTGTTTAGAAGAATGGCAATTTGATTATCTGTCAAAAGTTTTTTCAATGCATTTAGGGCCTCTTCTTTCTGAGGAGATTTTTTTTTCTTACTTTTCATTTTATAATAAACAAGCAGTTTTCTTTGTAAATCCAATCTTCGCTTCATACTTTCCATTTTTTTGCATAATTTAGAGTAATTTCCGCAGAGCTTTTTATACTGAATGGATATATTATTTTCTGATGCAATTAAAGCGTTGCTGATGATGTGAGATGAACCTGCTAATGAGAATGGTTCACTTGAAATGGTAAGGTTCAAGTCGACTGAAGTAGCTTCTGGCAACTTTTCGAAAATCTCATCCATTTCTTCTTTGTGACGTGTCACCTTTTCCTTTTTTAAATACCTTGCCTCTCGCGATGAATTTTTTGGTACATATGTTGTACAGGTTTGGGGCAGATTTAAACTAGGTACAGTACTTTTTTTTAAGCAGTTTCCTTACAGGCAATCCTAATAATTCGTTTCTCATTTGCTTTAGGAAAGTTGTGGTAAACAATGGCTTTTCAGGTAAGTTTTGTGGACACACGGCAGTCGTTACAACCAAAAACAGCGCAACGACGTCCTGGCATGTTTATTGTAAAAAAATTCTGTCATTTACTAGATGCACGAAGAAGTATAAACACAAAAACCGTCACTTAACAACGTGTCTCATCGCGTTCACAGTCACACACCGCGATATTCCAACGGCTACGGGTCCGCGGTGATGTCATAAAGTAGTGGGGACTCGGTTCACGCACGACAACGTTGCTGGTATAGGGATCTGGCTATCCTATGTTATATAACGGTCCTTGGAAAAATCCGTACTCCGAAAAAACCATACCGATACTGATTACCAACATTTAACGAAACTTTTTTCAACCTAATGAATTTGGGTGACTTGATGTGATGTGAAAAGACTACGTTCATTAACATTCATTTTCATCATAGAAATTTTTATCGATGGTGAAATCCCAAAATATATTTCCTTTCCGCAGCCAATCAGCAATGCTATGAATAAATCACATACCTGAATCTGGATACCACATTCATATCAGTCGATTGCTCAACAGCTTGATGATTGGGACTAGAGAATGCTTTCACTTCGGAAAGCTTTCTAGTTCGAAGATAGTAACATCCAATTACCTCCATATTAACTCCAACACTTCTACAAATCACTGAAACACTTTTGCGAGTAGTTCCAATATTTCGAATGTGCGATACTCCATTCGGGGGTAGTGAGTATTTATTCATCATGTAGCTTACAATTCTTTACTCGAATGCTGCTGTGCATATACTTTCAAAAGTGTATCCATATTGAACACATGCATGCTGCAAAGTTTTCCGAAAATCATTCATCTGATCGCTCGCAATAGCCAAATTGTAGCACAAACATGTCTACATTGCTGAAAGTGTTTGAGGGTTCAACCTTCGCCTCTTCGATGTTAATGACCGTACATCATCCGCATGAATACAGGAATCGCGCTGATGACGACGCAGGTTGTCAGAAAGAGTGACACTTTTTCTACATTCACTGAACGTAAATATCTTACATAAAGTGATTCACGATCATGAAGAGAATTTAAAATGACTGAAATATTCATACTACCTTTCTTATTTGAGCGCAACTTCCTCCACACCAATACGAGGTTGAGCTACGGAAATGCATTTGAAAATGATATCCAAGCTCAGCAGGTCGGGTTGTAGGGTGTTCAGAACCGTTATTAGTACCCTACTCAGCTCGAACCTTTTTATTGTATTCAATAATAAGTTTGAAATCTTGAAAAATGTTTGAAGGTATATTCAAATTTCATTGTTTATTACATTTTCAGTATCAAATACGACGTATAAATCACGCTTCAAGTCATAGCGGGTTGCTAACCGCCAAATAACACTGCCTTGATAGCATACAGATACTTATGGCTGCTGAAAAGTCACTAATGAGGCAAGAGAGAGGTATAACCGGAAACCCCAAGCTCCGCAAGATAAATTTTTGATTATCGTGTTGTGGATAATCCGTCGACCTCTTATCAGGTGGAATCCTTCGGGAAGGATAATTATGAAAACTTGCAGCCACTTAACTTAGGAACTGCAGCTTTAGCAACGTTAGAAGCTTCCAGCAGAAAGCTTTGATTCGACAATCTGAGCCCAATAAACTCTGCAACCCGATAGCTCCTCGATGATGTTCAAAAAGTCGTTGTGGTTTCTGAAAACTTTCCTGCTCCAGAACCACTAGGGCTGAACACCAGTTGGTGGATAATACTATCAAGCGTCCACCGGCATCTTGCCAGAGTGTTGAACTCGTCGTCGCTCAATAGCGAGCAGCCATTTCTGGATAGGTTTGACTAAGAACGGGCTGTTCTCATCCTCGAAAATGAACTGCAGTTGATTGAGTATTTGAACAGATATATGAGCAGAGAAAGTTGGAGAGAAGAGTCACTGAATGGTAAAGAGAACTTGCCCATCGATAGATGTATAACGCAGGACTAGGTACAGTGTAAGTAACTTCTCTATGGCCTGGATTGATGAAAGCAAGGCATCTGATACAACATCGCATGAGCTCATCTTGCATTTGCTCAGATGCCTTGCGATACCCGACAAAATAGTGAGATGTTCCAAACAACTGATACCACTATGGCAAACTCGCTTTATTATAACATTTGGTCCAGCTAGAATCCAAATATGGTGAGTCACTTTCAGTAGGATTGTATGTCAGGGCGATTCCCTCAGTCTCTAAATTTTATTCATCTCACCAGGGCCAGATGGTGCATTGATTCAAATATGTGGTAGTTGAAGATTTTCTTCGTTCGAAAATATAGTAATATTCAACTCTGTGAACGAACTAATTATGATAAATGTAAAAAACTTGCTAAAAAGGGTTTTTGATTAATTTTACCATTTTCAGCATAATCCGAACCAATGGAAAATTGTATTCTACTCTGCATCAGCAATATATATTGTGTCCAATTTTGTCTTCATTTGCTTCGGGTCCACAAATGTTCAACCATGGAATGAAGATGATTCCGAAGGTATGAGTGGATTTCCAAAATATATATATTTCTTAGACACTTCAAAATATCAATTGAAAAATTGACTCTTATTTTACATGTCATAAATTGCAACCAAAATCATGTTTATTTTCCAGATGGAGAAAAAGTATGAAAAATAAGTGCATGGAATGATTGGAAAGTTACTGAAACAAAGGAGATATTGTGAATAATTTTGCTAAAAAGTATTTTTTTTATATTCTGTGAATAAAATCAACACAACGAATAGTCTATGTTTTTGTTTCATAACAAGCTGTGTTTCTATTTGAATCAGATTAGAAAAAAAATCATCTCAATAAATTATTTCTTATCAATTACGAGAGAACAAAAAGGTTCAACTAGATACCATTTGATACTATGATAAATGTCCCATCTTCTCTTGCCAATTATGAATTGGATGATCTTTGTATATTCTGTTATATAACAGTTTCACACTCATTTTATGTCTATTCTAATTCCGATTGATCCTAGTAACTTCTGAGTTACTTGTGATTCAATTAATTTCAAAGTTCGTAAGTGAGGGCAATATTAAAAATAAAACGGCGCTCTCCGAGGTGATTCGTTGCAGAACCAATCTTTGACATCGACTGCCGACTAGATTCATTTTTTTGCCTTTGACTGCAGGTTTCACTGCAAAGCAACTGGTTGGGAAACAGAGCCCAAATACAAAGCATTTATGATTCTACACCAGATAGCGCTGTTTCGACACGCCATCATTTTCATCAGTGGTCCTAGGATGAACCACATATGCGTTGCTAGACTCAACTGTCCCTGAGGCTTAGGCTTGTCCCTAAGATAAATGAGGGCTATGTCATTATCTCTGTTGGATGTGTCATCGCCCCGTTCAACAGTAATAATCATCTTCGTTATTATCACTATCATTATAACAATAACATTCATCTTCGTTATTATCACTATCATTATTTTTTTTCCTATCTAAATTTTTATATAGGTGTAACCCTGTCTCAAAGCTTTAACACATTCTCGGGCATGCCAGTCAATAACCACTTTTCATACCCTGAGGTGAATAATCATTGGATTCCAGAATCGTGTGCCTAAGTTAACGCAACGAATCAAAAATTGTAGTCTTCTGTTTTTGTCCGCCCACATTTTCGTCCAGTATATTTCTAAACTGATGAAATATGTATAACAGTTCGCGTGGTCTATTACCACTACTAATGAGTATTCATTATGATCATCAGATGGAGACAATGATCTACAGTTACACCTAAATATTTCATTCCTGGTTTTATTGGTAGTGGAAGAAATTTGAGCAATATTATATATTTTTTAACTGTTTTCATTTGGCTAACTCATTTTGTGTTGATTTGCATGCATTATGTTCAGTTTTCTCCACATTGATGCTTAGTTGATTGTCATTCACCATTCAGAAATCATTTTTGTTTCAGTTCTGGCCGGATTGTGTCCTCCATCCCAAATGTTATTGATATATAAAAAAAATATGAACCAGAACGGTTCCTTGATGTATTTCCTAAGTTTTTGGAATGAGGGACTAATGATGTAGTTCATTTTCATCTTTTGAGACTCATTGGTCGAGTGTTTTTTTTTAAATGTCTCAAGCAACACCTCGTATAACTACGTCAAACAAGCTTTGGTCTGCTGTGTCGAATGTCTCGACCATTTTTCATGAATTTGAATACAGTTGTTATTTCAGATAATAACCTTATTGTACAATTTTGTGTCTTATATTGAAAAATCTCGAAACTGTTTTTCATATCCATAATCACCTACAGACATATGTACAATTAATTTGTTTTTGTTGAATTGACAATAGTTGAAGAACAGACAAGCAGGCGTGAGGTGTAGCCTACTTTTTCACGAATGCGTCCTAAGTTTAATATCGAATGCAAGAATTGTAAAACATTCTTACATATTTTTCATTTTTTTTTCATCTACATCATCATCTACATCTACATCATCATCTACAAATTTCTAACAGATTGGAAACTGCTGAATCCAAAATTTTTATGAAATCCATGAAATCGAAATGGTGGAATAATCAAATGGCATATTTACAAATAATTCACCTATCTGGATAGGGAAAATCTGGATCGATTTCAGATTTTTTCTACTTCTTCGAAATGAATATGATTAATTAACAGACGGCCAAGATGATGTTCGTAAATATCAACTATAAGTTAATAATTCATTGCATTAACCCATGAGTAAATGTTATTTCACATCAAATTAACAGAAATGAATGTAGTTTTTGTTAATTAAACAGTGTTATCTGTATGAACTGAAAATCTAAACATACGGACTACAAATATGTATATACTTGATGTCTGGAGATCTCAACAAGATCCAGTTGTGATGGCAGTTGCCGAAGAACAAGAAGTGAATATGTATCCGAAAGAAAGGTTGAACGGAGAAATTCAGAATGGTCATCAAGAAACTACAGTGACTGAAGAATCACAGTTTCTGGATATTGAACCTACTAGGATGAACAAGGGTTTGTGAATAAGTATCGTATCTACATTATATTCATGTCATAATGAACACTTATTACGGGTTTTTATTATGGCTGAATGCATTTTCGTCACTACACCAACAAATACTGCATGGCCAATCTTGAAGTACGCGAGTACAATCTGGAGCTTTGTGTATGAGAAATACATCAAGCGCAATGAATTTATACAAATATACAGGGTGTGACATGAGTACGCTAAAATATTCAAGAGACGTATTCCCGAGACAATTGTGAGAAAAAAAGTCAATATAACCTTGTGCCCGGAAATGCTTCCTTTCGGAGATACAGGATGTTGAAATTTTATTTTTCTTGTTCGTTTTTAAACGAACAAAAATAATAAGTTATTTGCGCGAAATTTGGAACCCGAAATTTTTGTGACGTGAGAAATCATAATTTTGTATTAATTTTCATGTAACCCCTAGAGGGCACTGCGTGCGCTGTTTTCATTTACTTCAAATTGCCCTAATTTTTTTGATAGTAATCTTTTGACGCTTTCCACGAAAAAACCTAATTGACTCACCTCCTTCAAGTGAAAAGTTACACCTCATCAACAACGTTGGAGGTGATCGTTTTTGAAATATTCACAATTTTCTATGCGTATAACTCAGCTCCTAGGGCACTGATTAAAGTTGCTGAGAACATTACGAAAACTAAGTATGTGGTGGATCTCGTCAAAATAAACAACTTTCTACTCCAAAATGTGTGGTGGAACCAAAATCTTTGGGACGGAACCAGATTGGGAAATGGGCCAAAACACACACTGGAATCTTTAAAAAGGGATCGTCGGAGTGGAGAACCGAAGAACAGTTTCAACAAATCTGGTATCAGCTCAGAACAATTACGGGGCGACCCATTAGATATCGTCCGTTAACACAATACCTGGACAACATAGATCTGTACAATGCAGACTTTAGATGCCGGCAATGCAACAAGTAGACATATAAAGCTCATCATAGTTCATGCCTATGTGAGACTGTTGATCACAAGAGGTGAAACATTTATGGACAAGCTAAATGTCGAGAAAAATATGATATACGCCCAACAAGAGACCTGTACAGACTAACGAAAGGAACAGGATCAGTGCTGCCGTTAAGGTACTATTGTACCGCATTCGGTACTATTCCATGATTTTGATACGAAGATACTACCCGGATCAATATGTAGACTATTCGGTACTATTTACTACAATCCCAATTTTTTACATTTTCACGTTGACTCTCATCGAGTACAGTGAAAAATAACAACAATATGTGTGGCAACAATGCAATTCCGTGTTTCAAGTTCCAGATCAGCAAATACCGTACTTGTGTCAAAATTGCGAGCTATCATTATATGCATTGTTTAATCCTGTGTTCTGTATTGTGCCTGTGAACTGTGGTTCTGTCATCTGTCAGTCAGTCAGCAGAACAGCAGTTTCAACTTCTAACCTCACACCTCACCTTGAGAAATTGGTTTTATTGTTTTGTCAAAATAAAAAGGAATATGGACAGGTAAAAATAAATTCTCGAATCTAGCCACTTGAAAACGTCTTTAGTATTGTTCATTCTATTGCGACAGAAACCTAATTAAAACAAAACACATTTGCAATCGTGAAAGAGCAATTTGAAGAAGGAAAAAGACACCTTTTTATCAAATGTTCTGATTATGATCTTTCTCTTAAGGAATATTTCTTAGTTTCCAGCAAATTTTTTACTCCATATATTTTCCGAATTTAAATGGATAACATTATTACACGTTTGGCATTACTGGCATTTGGTCTGAAATGACTTATGCGCATGTGCCATGCCTAGTCTTGCGCAGTACATTTTGGGTACTATTTTCTTGTAAATTTCGGTACTTTTTGAATTGACGTTGCGGCAGCACTGAACAGGATTGTTTGTATGGATGTCATGAAGAGATGGGGAATGAAACGATAAGGCTGCAGTGTTTTCCGGAGACTTTGGAAGAAATGGATAAGTCATACAGCTGCCAGGAAGCGAAAAGGAATTTTTTTTTTCAATAATAACGAACTCAATATTGAGATTAATGAAATGAGTTACTCAAACTTGTGATGCTCAATTTCGAAATTAGAGTGGCAACAAATATGAGTAGCGTATCAGAACACAAAAAATCATTCACTGATCCCAGATTTGTCTTTTGAATATCAACTGAATTTTTTCGATGTGAACATGAATTGGAAATTTTACATTTTGCTAAGAATGGATACACTCAGCAACATGATGAATTCCTTTCACGACCAGTTGTGTCGTAAGTCTCAACTCATTATCTTCCACAAATAACGATATTTCTGTATCTTAACGTCGATTGTTCCCATGACAGCGACCAAACGATCTAGATTATCTGATGAATTTGTAGAATTTTTGAAATAGAATGAACGAATATAGTATGGATACCATGAGGTTTATTTACAGAGACAGTTTGAATTCATGGAATAGTTCGGAAATGAAGGAAAATACAGTTGTATAGTGGAACGAGTACGATAATCAAGGGTACATCTCATTTGATATTTTTATAGCGTTTCATTTAGAGTAACAACCATCATCAGTGACAATAACTTTGAAATACGGTCCTGTCGTTACTTATTTTGTAAATTGTTTCGATTTCTTCAAAATATAATTCAGAAAACCCAATAAATTCGACAGGTAGGTACCCTAACACAATGAAAATTCTAACTTTTTCGTTTTGTAAATTTTTGTATTGCCGTTATCCTTCTTTCAAGATTTATTTCATTCCAATCAATTATAATTCGTAATATTTTTATAATATTCAATCCTGGAAGTAACGGAAATATCAGTTTTTGATCAAAATTCGATTGTTTTATTATTCGGTATGATCAAATAGCATTTAAACTCATTTACTATCTTAAACGCGTAGGGTTTGCTTGGTTTCTATGGCAGAAAGAATTAACTTGTTGTTGATATCTGTTGAGAACTGTCAGACGTTTATGAACATATCAAAGATGTATTCAAATGATGAAAGGACTGATATGCTATTTAGTTATGCAAAATCAAATAGTAATCCTCTTTTGGCAAGGAATATGTTTATTGAGCTATACCCGAATCGTCGTATTACGAACATCCAAATGTTTCAGACGATTAAAAAGAAATTTTAGGGACTATGGTGCATTCGACAGGAAGAAAACAAGAAAATGTGTGGTTACTGGAAGTGTGACAATTCAAATGAATTATATGGTTAAGGAAATATTACCACATAAAAAGGTACACAGTGAGACATCATTTTTTTTTTGAAATTTAGGATTGGCCAGTTATAAAAGTTATGCCAATCAGGATTGTTCTTCACGAGAAATTGCCAACGAAATGGAAATGTCTGTAAAATCCACCGGAATTATTTTAAAAAAGAACAAATATAAATGCTACAGGATACGCCAAGTCACGGTAGGAGAGTATGATTTGCGAAGTGATTAGGACGTAGAAATAGGAAAGTTGGAAATATTTGTAAAAGAATAATATGAACGGACGAATCAAAATTCACCTACAATGGTTGGTTTACCAGAAATATCCATTATTATAGGTGAAATAATACAAGTGAACATTCACATAGGGAAATTAACTTCCAAGAAAGGTGGGGAATAAATGTTTGGTTGGGTATTGTGGGAATGAACATCCTTGGCCCCTTTCTTTCGAGATGATAATTTGAATAGTGGAATGTATTTTCATTTTCTCTTCAATGAATTCGATGGTTACTTATAGCCACGGAATATTCGTCATGAAATACAATATTTTCAACAGGACGGCGCTCTTCCCCATAATGTAGCAATAGTAACGAAACATTTAGATTCACTATTACCAAGAAAATGAATTGGAAACAATGGACCAATTAACTGGCCAGCTCGATCCCTACATCCTACTCCATTAGATATTTTTGTCTGGGGATTGTTAAGGATGTTTCATACAATGGTTATGTAAAATATTGGGCACATAGTGTTGTATGAACATTGTTACAATACATTTACAAAAATTAGAAAAGGATGTCTAATGTATTTTATATTGAATTTTTCAAAATTTCCACATTATTCAATGAAATTGTTCATGGTATTCGATGTGAAATTTTTCAAAATCTATAAAAGAGGAGGGGTAGAAATGATTAATTCATTTTAAAACTTTCGAATAATTTTTTCCATACTCCTGTATATTGATAAACACAGAATACTGTGTAATTATAATTACAGTAGATGTTGAAAGATTCACAATTCACATATAAATAGCTATTGTTACTTTAAGTATTCTATATGTATTTGCTTTGTAGATTTTATGGTAGTAAGTTTCTATTCACCTTAAAGAACTGACGAAACATCTATTCAATTTCTCTATTTGAGTTTACTTTACACAAGAAGGATCACAACTGAATGAAACTAATTCTCAACAAAGGAAAAAAAAATATCAATTTCTCAAAATGAAAGGAGTACATTCTTCATATATTCCACAACATTCGAAGAAGAGAAACAGAATCGGTATCCTGGTAACCTAGATTTTCAAAAATTTGCTCATAAATATTTTATTGGAGAAAGAAGGTGAATTCTGAATTTCGAGAAGTATTTCCTAATGTATTTGAAAAGTATTAACCAAATATGAAGAAGATTGCACGTTTTCAGAACATAAACTCAATATTGCAAACAAAAAGAAATTCTCAATAAATTATAATCATACTGGAGCGAACACTATTTTTGAGACCTGTTGACTTGTATTACCACTAGTAATTCTTGATTCAAAATGTCTTTGTTGAGTTTGAATTCCAGATGATTTACGTATGTCTTCTCAATGAGTTTAAAATTGATTCACAATCCCAGACATTTTGTGAAATTTCCACGCTACGAATATTTCTGTTAGATGGAAATGTCACGTCACGAATATTTCTGTGAAGGAGGATCAGCATATTGAATGCCTTCACAATATTCAGGAAAAGCTCATTTGCTAAAACCTGATATATTTTATCTACACCACTTGTTGTTCTGTTGATTGAGT